TAACCCTCCCAAAAATTAACCTGATCACTGAACATAAAATTGCACAGAACAGTGAAACAGACAGAGGATTGTAGCAGAGACTGAAGAAAAACAAGAGCACAAACAAGCACTCAACTCTTAAACGCACCGCAAAACATGGTAGAAGGGGGAGAAGAGAGCAAGTTCAGCTTTGCTGTCATCAGGGACAGCTACTGCCTCAACAAGACTTTAGCTAGAGACCTCCTTAATATGATAAGCTAACTACCTAATTAACAGGCAGTAGACGTGGAGTATTCAAACACTTTTTTCTACTACTTTTTTTTTCCTTAAGATCTTTAGAATTAAAGAACCTTCCAGAGGTGTGCAGATGGTTGCAGAGGGATGGTCCAACTACCTGGCAGTTGTTAGAGAAAAATGACAGCAGGATTTTCAAACAGTTCCACAGTTTTTGGAACATGGTGAGGACAACTTCCAGACACAGAGAAGGAACAAGCAAACAGAAGAGAGATAATTTAATATTAGAAATAATGCAAATCACAGGTTTTCCTATAGAAGCAGCAGCTAAAATTGTTAGGGTGGAATGTAACTTGAATAAAAGCCCTCAGAATCAGAAATTTCAGGAAAAGAAGGAATTAGTGCAGAGAAACAAGGATGATGAGGGACAAACACAAACAAAAAATCAAGCAACAGGTAATATTGCAGGCTGCTTGGGAATACATTCTATGAGGAAAAGGAGTACAGGATGGCTGGATGTTATTAAGAAGCACACGTACAACTGAAAGTACAACTTTACAAACTGCTTCTTAATTTAATCGTAAATATAAGAACAACTTAAAAAATGTTATTTATAACCATAATTAAATTCGAATCATAAAATCACATTATCAATTTCCCAAAGGCCTTCTGAACTGACAATCAGAAGCTTCATGAAAATAAATGGTGACAACAAAGACAAAGGTGACACAAAGAAACAGCACAAACATTTTGAAATAAAATCAGAGACACATGCAGAAGATAAAACTAGAAAGAAACTTTAACAAAAAGAGGTTATACAAATAAACCACAGGTAAAACAACAGTATTTTTAAAAGATCAAAGGAGCTCTTTTCTCAAGGAGAATGGGAGAAAAAAACCATAAGTTATGTTTAGATACATTTCATGTAAAGCTTGCTAACTGCTAGAAAAAATCCTCAGGATCTTGTGGAGAAGAGGCAAGCAGCAAGAGGACTGTGAAGAAGAGCAAACCTACCTGTCTTTCTAGGAAAAGGGTATAAGCATATATAAATGAAAATATTCATAATGATCAAATGCCTAAATAAACAATACCTATAAAATCTTGGAGGATAAGATGATAAAAATGCCACGGATTTCTTAAGGATAAATCCCATACAATAACCAAGTTCTTGAATGAAATAACTGGAAAAACATATGCTACAGTTTAGTACTGGTACAACCTTTGACACCACACCAATGATGCACTGTTTTCAAGAAAAGAGCAATGTGCTCTAGCTTAAATCAACACAGGAGCATGGTTTGGAAACTGAGGTCAGGATTCTGCAGTAATCTGTAGCAGCCTGCTTCCAGCCACGTCTTCCTTTTTTTTTTATTTCAACAGCCCTGATGTGTATTTGCCAAGCTGTCACTGGTATTTTATTCAATACCTAGCACATTAATAAAATTAAATCCCCCACAATTAAGTTAAAATAATGGAAATTATACACTCATTTTGAAATATGTAATTAAGTAACATTATACATTTTAGGACTTTCTTCCCTTCCTTGCTTTTGAGTTCAACTCACCGTGCACGTACCTCTCACCAATCTGAATACCAAAACTTATGGTCCCTTCCAAAGGACGTTAAAATCACAGCCATGACACTATTCCGTTTCTGCTTTCTCTATATTCCATTTGCTTCTGTTTCAGTAGTAATACTATTTTGGTTTTTTTCACACTAGCATACACTAACCTGTGGTGAGTACCTGCTAAGAACTAAGTAAAAATTGAAACTTCAGGTCATGGTACATTATTTACTTTCCCCAGCCCACCCTAAGTAAATAAAAGTTAATTTCTCTGTAAATATTTAATAAGCTTTTCTTCTTTCAAAAGTAAACTTAATCAGTACTTTTTGATTGCACGACTATAATGTTTAATTGACTTCTTCAATGTAAATTTTATATCAGACAGACAAGATTTTTTTTCTTGCATTTTCCTAGAATGAACATGCCAAGAAGGGAGATCCAAGTTCATCTGAGCAATATATGAAGGCAATGGCATAACAAGGAAAACTGACATTTTCCAAATGAACTGTTCACACAAACAAACAGTGACTGTTCACAAATTATTGCATTTGCTGAAACTAATGAAAGCAAGAGAGGCAAGCCACATCCTTAAAAGATAAACAGTGAAGAATTCTGACAAAGCACCAGACAGTAATTAAGCTAACCAGCTACTTATTATTTCTGTCTTTCCAGAGGTCCAGGTGACACAACATATTTTGTAACCCTTAAATAGAATGTGCCAGACTGATCCTATATAGTCAGCCTTCCATTTCTCTTGCAGAGAGGGCAAAAGTCAGAAAGGAAAGGAAGCCTTTCATGGCAAAGCACTAATTTCTTTAACATGCAGCTACAGAAAGGTAACAAAAGTGGTCTCCATTGCCTGAACTAGCACCTGCCTACAATTGTGATGAGAAAAAAAGAAACAACATTTTACCAGCTTGTTTCTTCAGTACAAATTATGAGAAAAAACATTCCAGGATGGACAACCGTACCCTGAGAAGGTATGTATATTATTGCTAACTTAGTGTACAGTGATTACCTGTAACTGCTGCAGTGTCAGCCTTGTCACTGTTCTCATTAAAGTCAAGAATGAAGGAAAAAATACTTAAACTACAGAAAAGAAGGAAAAATGTTTTTCTTTTGTCCCTAAACCATGAAGCTTAGTTTAAACTAATACTTTACATCTCTTTGCTAATTTTTTGCTATTTTACCTTTCTTCAAAAAAAAGAATTCCATCTCAATGCAGTTGAATATCATAAAGCTCTTCAACTTTTAAAGCACTTTGGACAATTATTTTGAAGGGAACCCTTGGCAGTTAAATGACTCAGTTAAACTAAAGTTATAGGCTTTTAAATTAATGTTACACGATTTTTAGTGACATACTGAATTTAACCACAAATAAGAAAAAACAGGTATAAGCAACCTGGGTGTATTTCAATAATAATGTCTTTCTTGAGAGGTCAGTGGATTTTGTATGGTCTAAAAATCAAGCTATTAGCTGGACAGCCCAAGCTGAGATTGCTCATTTTTTTTCCTTCACTTTCATGTTTGGTTTTCATCTTTATTAAACATTTATCTTTTTTTATTTTTTAAAAAATTTAAAAGACCAATTTTTATTTTTATTTTTATTTTTTTTTAGGCTTGCACCTACTTATGCCAACCCTGTGCTACATTTTATTGCAACCTTGTGATGATAAAGACTGCATTCCTTAACCTAACTATTCCTATTTATTTTACAGAAGGTCTGGAAATGAATTGAAAAAAAACAAAAACAAATTATAAAGTACACAAAAAAACCCCCTACTGTTCCAAGGGAGCCTGATACCAGAGTTCTGATTGACACAGAACTCTGTTTGAAGTGACACAAGTAGGGCTGGGCCTACACAATGGAGATTTATTTACCTTGAACATTATCTACTTAACTCTGATATTTTTACATCATTTTGCATGGCTATATAAAAAAACAGTTTTAAATAAAATTAAAATTTGCTTTTTTAATTATTTTTAGTATTTTTTATGCTATTGTGCTGAAGCACAGTAACAAGGCACAGTTCTTCTGATGACAAACCACCACTCACTAAAGGTTTTTATTTGATGGAAGAAAAAGAAATTAATGGAAAACTATCCACTAGGACCCTTATTTCCCTGTAGATTAAGAAAGAGAAAACAAAAATCTCAATGATGAAGAAATGAGGCTGAAAAACAGGGATCATACGTACTCAGTTTCTCTGGTGAAATGAGCCGGAATGACTGTTTCACAGTAGAAAGGCCAGCTACACATATGAAAGCGATATTTATTGGGATCTAGAGTCTGTCTAAAGCTTTCAGCTCTGTAGCCTAACACTAAAAAAGAAAAAAGTACTGCTGGAGCAGTCGAAACTTGTTACAAGCGACAGAGACAGGTACAAAACAAGTTGATGTAATAAGATGTTTGTTGAGAGTATTAAATAAATGAGTTGCTCAGTGGAGTCGAAGAATCAGTTCTCTTAATTCACTGTTTTTAACCTCCTGCTGTTTATACTTGCTTAGACCCATATGCCATCTCCTGTACATCCTCTGGGTGCCCAGAGCAGCCCTGATCAGGCCTTCTCATCTGCTTGCCTCCTGCTCCCAGAGCACTCCCATCACCCACACTGACAGAAACAGCTCACCCATGAAAAAGCTGGGGGGAAAAAAGGAAGGTAGAAAAAAAGAGCCACTTAGCTACACACTGGGATTACTTAGCCTAAGAAATTATGACTTTAAATACCACTGGACCACTGACATCAGCACCATAATACCACTGAAAAACCGCACAGACCTCACTTTCCTTGGGTCATAAATACTACAGAGATAAGAATATTTAATCTGAGCAAATAAGAAAATCCAGGTATTTCATATGCAAAGGATTAATGGGTTTTCGTCATATTTGGGGACAGCTACCATACTACCCTTCTTGCCCAATCCTCCTCCACCTCAGAGTGCTGAAATAAAAGTAAAAGTGCATTTTACTTTAAATATCAACTGTGGTTCAGTAAACAGGCTGACGTGCTATTTCATGTGAGACAAGAAACTGTGATTTAATCTCATTTTCACTAGCTAGACTCCTAGCTAATGTATCTGGGGACAGTTTAAGCCTGTGTTCGCTGTAAGACATCTGCATTTTATACCACTTGGCCCTCTGTATTTTCACAGCACATAGGTGAAAAATTAGCTGGGTTTCTTACACCTGCTGTGCAACAATGGGAAATCTCTATATACTCACAGATGTAGAAATATTCCCGGCCTGGCCTGAACTCAAATCCTAGTGAGAAGGGCGTGAAGAGTTGGAACTTTTCCGAGAACTTCAATGGTCCATTTGGGGAATGCGGCCGATTACACTCCCACCTCTTGAACCCCTTGGAAGTGTGATCACAGGAGCTGTAGCCATCAAAGTTCACCATGTACAGAACATAGCGTTCGGTCTTATCTTCTGGCACTGAGTCTTCATAGTGAGGGCAGAACACATCCAGGTAGTCATTGATGCAGACATCGATGTGGTAGTCGCCTCTCTGGAATCTGAAATCACAAGAGGAGTTCAAAAATGAGCACATTTAACTCAGGATGACCTTGTACCAGGGTAACATTCTCATAAAAGGGGCATCACTAATGGCACTTCATTTCACTCCAGCCATGCACATTCACTCTGAAAAATGATCCTTACAATTCACCAGAGCTATCAGAGACTGATTATGCAGGACCATGATCATACAACCTTCTGGATAAAGGTTTTGCTCTATTCTCTTACAAAATGAGTCTGTTGCTAACACCAAGTTATAGGCACTGTTCCCCTACAGTTTACTGAACAAACAAACAAAGAGAGCACCTGCTTTATCTAGTACTGATTTTGGGTTTTTTTAATTGAAGAAAGAAGCAAGAAGCAGCAAAGAAGCCAAAACTGCATCAACCTTCCCAAATCAGTGTCTATAAAAACATCTGCCTATGCATGCAAATAAATAAACCAGACATATCCTTTTCTCTTAATCAGGCAATAATCACCCCTGTGCTGAAAGCAGATTTGACTGCAAGTACTTAATAGTTACTACGTGAACACAAATAGGTTACTCTTTTTTCATAATTAGCAGCAGTTTGTCAAGATGTAAAGAAACGTCCATATTGCTTTCTAAAGAAATTTGCAAAGCAGTGCTTCTCCTTTGCCAGAAGTACACAGTGGAGACGTTGCTCTGTTCAGATGACAGGATTCTGGGATACGAATTATCAGCACTCAGCCTAATGTGACAGTTCTGAGTGAGTGCCAGTTGAGAAATGCAGTGCAAGGCACCAGCTGAGATGCATTTTATTATTGCTGTTATTATTACTGATGACTCCTTAGGGATGTGGAATGCTCATTTTGCTGGTGGGGAGGGTTTCCTTTTTCCTACCCTCCATGTTTCACTTACATTACTTTTCTAATGCCTACCATAGTATCTGGAAGAAACTACGGGAACAAATTCACTGCCTCCATGGGAGCTTATACTATGATGGATTTAATGATTCCATAAACCAGGTCTGTATGTCCATTAAACTCCCTGGGGCAGCTAAAGAAACCAACCACTGACCTACTCCACTTCAGGCTGACTGGGCTACTTGTAGCTTCTCTCTTTCACGGCTGCACTTGTCAAGTGTACCACAGAGCAATAAAAAGGCCATGACAGATTTAACTATAATACTTTTTAGCTGAGGGGCATATTTTAAACACCTGATGGGCTTGAAATCTGCCATCTGGATCCTTCTATCTAATTTCAGAGAAAAAGCAATGATTTGCTGGCCCTCTAAGGATAAATTCAGAGCAAACTATACCTTTTCATATCGCTACAATAATTTAACTTCAATAAAATAGCTTTTTAAAGAAGAAAAACTGCATACACATCAAAGCATGATATATCTGTATAATTTCAGCCAGTGCACAGCCTCACAGTTCCACTCTGTAACATGGAAAAGCCTCTCTGAACAACAGTTCTTCCAGTAGAATTTACATTTATCTAAACCATTGGTTAAAATATGTATTTTTGTACTTCAGTTCTTTGAAAATGTGTCACCTGAACAGACATCCACTTAACACACTTGCAAAAATGTATTGTTTTCAAATTGGTGTCTGTTCTCTGAATCAGTTAACAGTATGCCATTTCTTGCAGATAATGAAAAAGAGTGTAAGTAACAAATAGAGAAGTCACATTTGGGCAGTGACATCTCTATTTTTTCAGTTACAGTTTTAGTAAGTAAAAAGTAATATATATTTATATATACGTTTGTGTATGCATGTGTTTTTTTTAACCGTGTAGGTGATAGACAATGGAATCTTCTCAAAGGATTGTCAAGGTTACCTCTTATATCAGCCTATGCCTTCACAATAATGCCCAATTACAGTTTTCTGACAGAAATTGTATGCTTCCAGGACTATACTTGATACATTATATGTATTATTATTATTAAAACATGTTATTATTTCTAAAATACTTAATACTATACATAATACAGTCAAGATCAGACTGAACTCCTTATTATTAGACTTCTACAACACAAATAACCTTATGTGAACTGTTTTTCCACATTTTAAGTCAACTTCTTAAGTCCAACTCATCTGGCCTCTTTAGGCCCAAGGTACATTGTAATAAGATGCAGCTATTTCTCTCCTTTAACCAAAAGAAGAGTCTAGAGGGGGAATCTACCCTGTAAATAGCTGAATTTGAAGGGAAGAATCTAGCTGCACAGTCCATGATAATGGAGATGGTAAGTACAAAGAGGCAGACAACTAAATGGGTGAGCACACCTTAAATCCATGTTAGCAATGAAATCAAATTCATAACCTGCACCACTGACATGTTCTACCCAATACCGCAAAAATGAGCTAATCTGTTTCCCTTTTGGCAAAGTTTCCTACTGTATTCTTGTTAAATAAACAAAACCACAATGCAACTTTCCTCTTTGATCACTGGCATTTTAGCAGATTCCTTCTTATTTCTCCTTTATTTAAGTGCTGAAGCAGTTAAGTGTCTTCGTTCATTCCACACACTGTTAACTGCAGTCTGCAAAGCAGGTCTGAGACTGAAACATATGGACCAAGTCCTTTTTATCCCAGTGTCTTTTCCTCCCTGTTTCCCTGCTCTCTCAAGTTTCATTCCACAGTCATTCACCATAGCTAGAAAGTGTTTACATTTACACATTTAAAATGGGAAGAAATGGTGCATATTTTAAGTGATCTAAACTGGCCTTTAGCCAGTATTGTTGGCACAGCAGTACATCTGCTCCAGGGAAAACATGTACTGAGGTGTTTTATCAGGCAGCTCTGAGTGAAGTCTCTTTACTCCAGGTTATTGGCCAACTAAGATTCAGAAAGCAAGTATTTTTTCCCCTCTTGGAGTATCTCAAAGAAGTCAGTAATTAAAACCTCATCAAGTGTACTAAAGAGAGGCAGAACTAATTTTATGTTTCCAGAAGTGGCTGAGACCATTCTCATTTCTCCATCTACAAGTAGTGTTGTATTTACCTCCTCAAAGAGGAAATGCAAAGTCCTCTAATCTAAACAGAAAGACAAGAGATGGCCACGAGTTAACTCACAAAACACTTCATCAGCTCAGATTCCTCAAAGCTATTAAAGGAAACACCTCAGAAACACACTTCCAAGAATCTTCAGCCACATTTGAGAGGAAAACACAGGCTGAAAACCTCTTACTAATAGGGTAATGTCAAGTACTAGACTGAAACAAAAGTTCCATTTCAAATTAAAGCTATCTATATATGGAGAAAATCAAAACACGTAAAGGGAAGGTGGAATCCATTAACAGATGTTTGCCGAGATGATAGGAATAGCAGACCTCCCATCCCTTTATCCAGTCCCACTCAGAACAGAAAGTTTTCTAATAATGCTACTGATGTACTTTTCTCAATTAAGTCTTCATCCTGTTCTGGTAGATTCTCACCCAGACTCCCACACCCTTCTGGAACAATGCGATATCCTTATCTTTGTATAAAGATAAGGATCTTTATACAAACCCCACTGCAAGGAAAAAAACAGTCCTCTCTAGATTTCCATAGGAGAACATTATGTTGTGGCAGAAATCAACCAAAAAGGCTTCTCCAAAAATCTGACAGGATCTACAAACCTTCTTGCTAATTATGTTATTTGTCTCCACGCACTCTAGCTTAAATACAGCAAAACACAGCTGTTCTTCAAATATAATTAACCTTTGTTTTTTGTCAGGTAGCATTCAAAGAATGTCTTGGGAACCTGCATACTACAAAGCTACTATTAGGCAGTAGTGTTATAGAAGCCATTTTAAAAACAGAGTCAATTAGCTTCTTAATCTAAGCATTTCCATAACCAACAAACGTCAGCTTGCTACGCAAAACTTGCATACTGCTTCCAGCAAAGGCTATCATAGGAATGTTTCTGTGCTCAAGTGCCACTGATGAAATGTCCAGGTATTTAGGATGCAGAGAAATAACTTGGTGGTTATTTTAACCACAGAAACACAAGACCAGCAAAACACTTTTAAAGTAATTAATGCCTTCTGTATTGTGTTTATCCATTAACAAAAAGTGAAAGTACACTGTGTGCATGCTTCTCTTCATAATTTTAAGTCCTGAAGCAGAAGGGGTTCATCTTGAATTTAATAACTTTGCTGGTCACTGAAACAAGTGACAATTTATTTGAACAGATATTTAGATCGTTTAGATAGCTTCTGCTTGTTGCCTCCCCTACAAATCCTATTAGTTATATGCTATAGCCCTTCCTGTAAAATCGACATACCAGATGCTCTACTTCAAGTCAAGTGTACTGGAAAATTTGCCTTTTACTATGTCAACCTTTCTTTGTTTGCAGTCTGTTCTGTCAAATGCATGTGGCAAGGCCTCACTTTGAACCAGAAAAGACTTCAAATAACTGCTCTGACAATGAATTACAAAATTCTGGTCTTCAGTCAGGTATCAGAAGGGATCAGATGCAAATGACCCCAATTCTGACACCCGCACAGCCTGTTAACACCAATGGACAGAGGGAGGACACTGCCACTGCTGAATGCCTTACACCAGTTGCCCTGTTGTCTGATAATCCAAAATGTAAAGGAACATCAACAATATTCACTGAATTAATTTATTCTTTGGGTAAATACAAACCACAATTGACCATAGTTTTTCAGAAACAGCACAGCAAAAAGTTGCCTGCTCTGTTTCCTAAGGAAAAAAGGCTTTTGTGAGGCAGCACATGTGCATACCTCGTGACTGCTGGTCACTCAGCTCCCCCTTTTTATTTTCATGACCAGTAAGCCACTTTAAACTAAATTTAGTGGAAACAGTGAGGTCTCAGAAAGAAGTCTATTCCTACAAGTACCATGAACAAGGCAGCCAGGTAAAAAGATCCCATAAGTATCCCAAATGTAGCTGGTTTCTGTGGCTGGGTTTTGGTAGCAGGGGGAGGGGGGCTACAGGGGTGGCTTCTGTCAGAAGCTGCTAGAAGCTTCCCCTGTCCAGTGGAGCCAAGGCCAGCTGGCTCCAGGACAGACTTCCTGCCACTGGCCAAG